TACAGTTGGATTAAGAGAAAATGGTAGAAGAAACCTGAGTCTATTCAAGTGCCTTTAAGATCAGTTGGAAGAAGAAGAGTGTTACTCCTGTAACTTAATCTCATCGCTACTCCATTAAATTTATCTAACATCTAGGGCTGCCAAGTTCTGAACCAGTCTCTGTTGCTTGTGGCTTAACATCAATCTCCTTTGGCAAGGGATTTTCTACCCTCGATGCTAAGAAAATTTATGCCTGTTGACTTCTGCACCTCCAACTGATCTTAAAGGCACTTGAATAGACTCAGGTTTCTTCTACCATTTTCTCTTAATCCAACTGTAATTATGATTAGTCATATAACTCCATCTCAATGCCATTTCCCCTGGAAAATAAATATTACAAATAGAATAAGGAACGAGGATAATAGAAAAAAACTAAACTTCTAAAGCATTGTTTCTCAGTCTTGGCGACTTTAGAGATGTATGGATTTCAACTTCAGCAGGAGTTGAAGTCCACACATCTTGCCACAATTGAAAAATACTATTGTAAAGTAAATAGTACTAGCCTGCTTTCAAAAAATAGGAATTATTTTCTTGTTTCTTATTGTTCTCCAAGAATCATTCAAATTGCCAGTTAGCATGGCTACATTAGAAGCTACATTAACTTTTGAAGTAAAGTACCATAGTTCAAAACATGCATTTCTTAAAAAGCCTGTCCTAGTATTACCAGAGAGCTGGAAATGAAGTGAGACTATCTATCTTATTTTGCTTCTTTATGTACCACCCATCATTTCTTTCTTCTCTTACTGCTCAGGCTTACCTGGCTGAAGAGATGTCCTAGGATCATCTCAGAAATGGAGGAGGTGAGGCCGGTAAGCTTACGAAAAAAACAGAATATGATTAGAGGACAGACAAGCATTATTCTGAAAGGGTAAAACTGATATCTGTACAGGTAGTCCTCAACTTATGACCACAATTGAGCCCAGAATTTATGTTGCTAAGTGAGAAATTTGTTAGGTGAGTTTTGCCCCATTTTATGACTTTTCTTGCTGCATTTGTTGTGAATCATTGCAGTTGTTAAATTAGCCTTTTCAGAAGGTGGCAAAAGGGGATCATGGTTCTAGGACACTGCAACCATTATAAATGTGAGTCAGTTGTCAAGCATCTAAATGTAAATCACATGACCACAGGGATGTGGCAATGGTTATAAGTGTGAAAAGTGCTCATAAGTCACTTTTTTAGTGCTGTTGTAACTTTGAACAGTCACTAAATGAACTGCTATAAGTCAAGGACTACTTGTACAAAAGGAAAAAGGTGAAGGTCTTTGAAATTAGAATCATTGACTTATGCCTCCACAGCTTAAACAGTGCTCAAGCTTAGATATTTTTTTGTTTAATTTATATGCCACCCATCTTGCTTCAAGAATAATTTAAAGGTTGATCCTGACAGTATGCAATGTACCACAGAAAAGGTGCTTTTGAATATATGCAAACTGTATTTTGTTGTACCTTTGAATTACTTTTGAAATTCCTGCAATATAGAAGTTGTCCTTTAGATATTTTACACTTCTGTACTTTCTAATCTTTTTTTTCTGTCTCTCTCTCTCTCTTTCTCTCTTTCTCTCTT